GGTCATAACCCAGAGAAAAAGGCTTCTTACTTAAACACCAACCCAAGCGAGATGAACGACTGGTTTGCTATGAGACTCACTGACCTTGGGAGTTAATATAGAGAAGGAGACAGAGTAGGAATAGAAGAACTGGGACAAGAGTTCCTCCAACCTTTTTTTCAAGTAGACTAGGCCAGACCTAGCGCTTAAGTCGTGGTACCAAGTCAAGTTCATATTCAAAATTAATTCTAGACAAATCAAAATATTAACTAAACATAATACGTTCAATACCAAGCATCCATATTTAATAAAATTACAAACTTAAAAATATAATAATTTCAACTTCCATCAACTATAGTTATAAATCAATAAGAATTAATTTTATAACAAAAGAATTGACAACAATATAAATACCAAAACAATAAAAATTATTAATTTTCAAATATAATATCATAAATTAATAAATAACAAAATCAAATTATAATATTTAATTTTAATTATTTTTTTTCTAAATTATACAAAAAAATTTATTAAAAATTTTCATCTAAAATCCATATATATATAATTTCAAAAATTATAAATTTTTAAACTTATATTTTAATAAAATTAATTACAAAATTAAATAAATAAAAACCCACCCACCCTAACTCACCCCACCCAACCCCACTCAGTACTCACGTGTCCCCTCCAATGTAGATAGCCCCATTTCTCAAACTTTCCCCCAAAGTAGAAACCCTTATATGATCTTCAACTCTTCTTTGTGTTTTCTTTTTCTCCCTTTTTTTCTCTTTGCATCTATCATTCTCTATTGCATTTTTTCATCAATGTCTTTGCCTTCAGAGTATCTCGATCTCATCTTTCTCAGATTATCACAAAGATCAACATTATTTTACAAAAATTTTGAAAAAAAAAAAGATAATTTAACTTTTTCTTATTTTCTTTGATTTTGATTATTGATTCAAAATTTGAGATTGATTTGAATTTGAGTAATTTGTGGATTGAGTTAGGATTATCTTTGATTGAAGTTTTTTATTGTTTAATTTGAACCAGTGACTAAGAAAACGGGGATAGCGGTCCGTTATTGCTTCTATTTTCTGTTACACCGTTTTCTAATAGCCGTTACGCAACGTTTTGAGTATGAATAAATTTTTCAACCACATTTTTTCAGATAACGATGATGGGTGGTGACGTTACCGTAATTTTACGACTGCTATTCCGTTATACAACCGTTATTTGAAACCCTGATGTTGCGATCCCCTTCCCTTAACCAGCTAGCTCGTGATCGTTGGGCCCAATAAGATTCCTATATTTCAATGACCTTGTTCAATTCTTTCCTAGTTGTCCCAATGTTTCCCAAAGTAGAATGATTTGGTGCAGCATAGCTTAATGTTTGGAGCTCATTTGTCAACTTTTTTTATCTTCCTTTGCATGGCCATAAAGTGCTCTTGATGCCACTTTGCAGGAGTTTGACCCGTGGAGCCCACTCTATCAATTAAAGGCTCACCAAAGCTTCTCTGCCAAGCCCTCTTTATTACCTTCTCACAAGCCCGATCCTTTACCCACATGCTTTCAAATCAAAAGCGCCTATTTTTCTTTCATTCCTTTATTTTGCCCCTTTTGCTCTCCGTGGTAACCAATATTGGTATGTGGTCAGACGAGCTTGATACCAAATGAGACACCCGGTACTGTGGGAACCAATCCTCCCAATGTTGATTAGCCACACTCTTATTAAGTCTTTCACAAACATTGTTTGTAGTGCTATTTCCTCGCTCTCATGTAAACCATTACTCCTGGTATCCTAATTCCCAAAGTCCAGCGTCTTGTAGAGCTTATCGAAAATCTTTCATTTGATATTTATGCCTTTGGCATCTCCCTGACTTTTCCTGGGACCAAAGAATTTTGTTGAAATCCCCAATACACATCCATAGTGTATTATATTATATCGCAAAGTTCCTCAATATGCTGCATAAAAGCCTTCTCCTCTTATATCAGGCTCTTTATAAAATCCTATTATTCTCCATTCCTAGGTTTCTTCTCCATCCTAAATTATCATAGCAATGTGGTTTTTCAAAAAACTTAAGAGCCGAAGATTGATACCGTCTTTCCAAAGCATCGTCAAGCCCCTTCTATTTCCTTCTGCACACTGAAGCAGGATTTCATACGGCATCTCCTTTTAATACCATCCATCTTCCTAGCATGTAGTTTTGTTTCCATTAAGAAAACTACATAGGATTCTTTAGACCTCAATAATTACCGAAGGGCTCGAACTCCACGTGGGTTTCCAAACCCACGACAATTCCATGACAAGCACTTCGTGACTGTCGGTGAGACTGGGTCTCAGCCTTTACCATTTCTAGCAAAAGTCATCCCTCCATCTGTTCCTCACCTCTAACTTTCTTTGCGATAGTTTCTACTATCTCAGCCTTGCTTATAATGTTCACTTCCATTTCGTCAACGCCTCTTTTCCCTAAGGGCAGCTCCTTTTGTCTGGTGTTATTTCTGGTTTTTGGCCTTCCTTTTACTTATTTTGCTCATATTTTTTCGGTGCTGCATAAATGTGCATGTCCACTTTATTTGTTTCATTATTAACAACTAATTCTGTCTCTTTTGTAGCCCCGCCCATATTGTCCATGTTGACATTCCTAATAGCATCATTAGCCAGTTGTCCTAAGATATGTCCACTAGGTATTTCAGCTCTTTGTGCTATGCCTCCGCCTTTGGAATACAAGTTACACATGCTCTTTTTAATTAAGGAAATATTTTTAGCGTGATTTTTGTGATTTTGATCCTCCGTTGGCACGATGATAGACCCTCTTATCTTCATTGTTGCTGAATTTCTTGCCTCAAAAATCTCTGTATGTTTGTTTCCCACTTGGCTTCTCAGCCTACCTATCGCACCCATTGCCGCTCCTCCTTCCACACCCCCACCATCCCATGTATGCGGCGTACTAGTTATATTCATTCTTCCAACCTTCCTTTGCATTCTAGATCCTTCTTTCCCATTTTGTGCTTGATGGTGGCCTTTTTCTAGTGGAAAGGCCCTTAACCAATCTCCATACTGCTTATCAGTCTCCGTTTCTGTACCATCTTTTTCTGTATTCATGCATTCATTTTCAGTATGATTCAACATCCTGCATGTGTAACAATACTTTGGCAGCCTTTCATACTTAAGCTTTCCCCAGATATTGGTTCCACCTCCTTGTTTTGCTAGAGTCACACACCTTTTTAATGGCTTCGTCACGTCTATCTCTAATTTGATTCTCAGAAAACGTCCCCAGCCTAGTCCATTGTTATTATCATCAACTTCTTTAATTGTTTCGATTTTTTGCCCTATTTGTTTAGCCACCGTTTAATTTATCCACTGTAGAGGGATATCATACACTCGGACCTAGAATGATCCTCTTTCAAATTTGTAGTCTGAAAGCCTGAAGTCTCCATTATAATCTTGGAGTAGTAAAAGCTTTTTGTCAAACGACCATGGTGCGCCATCCATTACTTTTGACTAATCCTTCTTAGACCCAAATTTAAACAGAAACAAGTTAGCATGAAGAACACAAATATGAACATCCTGCACCAGTTTCCATATCACCCTAAATGTACTTATCATTGCCACCCAATTAAAGGGCCGTAAGGTTAATAATTTCCCTGTCATCCAACAATCTGTTTCTGCATTTCCATCTTCATCATATCGCTTCATGTCTATTGCTATGCATTCATTCTTTGCTTTCGTCAACGTGAGATTTTTCCATGCCGTTCCAACTCCTTTGCCACAATAGCCAACAATCTTTCCACTGATTCCCTTGCTGCTAAGTGCCACTAACTACAACTTACTATTCAACCCTTAAGGTTGCTTCATCGGAGAGATTTTGACGACAAAACTAAGTGCCTTACTGAAACTAAACTTCTCCCATATAGTTAAGCCCTTTAGGAGACTCCGATATAGGACATTTATCACTTTGTTACTCTAACTTATGGAATTAAAAAATTTCACTAACATAAAATAACCAAATGTTAGTCCTCTTCTCAAGTACCATATAAAATATGGTATATAGAAGTGAGCATAACAATCTTACATCATATTATAGCACCAATACATCTCTGTTTTCAATTGATCTCATAAACAAAGATTTACATTTCAATTGGATTGTCTTTTGCCTGATTTCCTAGTTTATGTCTTTATTCCTAAACTCTTCTTCTTCACTTTGCATGCATAAACAATTGATTATATTTCTAAGTCGATAAACAACCTAGGTACTATTGATGTTAGCCTTTTTATATCCAAAATTAAATTTATGGGCTGTGTATACCCATCTTCATATTTATTCATTGCACACAAAAAATTCTCAATATTTTCAAAATATAACAAAACCTAAGGATGGACGATGACAAGTAAAATTTTTACAATCTTTTTATGATTGTGATCCTTTGTTAGTTTAATCTTTTTATTTTTGTTTGATCATTATTGTTATAGATTTTTCAAACATGTTTAAACGCATTTACTAACATGGACATGCTTCTACTTTCTTTGTCATTTTTATGTCTTATTTTATAATTTTTTTATAGGATGAGCATAATCCATAAGAGGGGAGAAACTTTTAGTTCGAAACCAGAATTTCTGTATCTCGTTAAAAAATTTTTAGTCACTAATCTTGAGGAGCAAATTCTCTATTTTTAATAAAAAAATGCAATATATAATTAGGAGAAAAATTGTTAGAACGATAAATCAAGAATTAAACTCCAATTTCAGAATCCCTAGGCGCCAAGGCTTGCTTCAACCGGTTATCCGTTACAATATTTCTCTACTTTTTCCCATGAGAAGGCAATCAACAGCGCCGTCAAATCAAACGGTTGAGATTAGAAAACCGCATAACCAATAAGACCGCACTATATTCTGCACCCAACAATACGTAATGCAAATCGGTAACAAAAGTCAAACACCTTTTCACATATTTATTTTCCATGACAGAACTTATTAGTACTATAAAAGTCGCGTGCACATTGTGTACAAATATTGGTTTATTAGCCTTAACTTTTGGTCAAGCATTAGGAAACTTCCGAGAAACTTCGTATTGCACTTTTTCGAACTTAAAAGAAAGGTTTTCTTGAACTGAACTCTCATTAGGGCGATGAGTCGTTCGGGATATCAATTCCAATCCCTTGCCGTCGTTTCTTTCATCAACCAAGCCACTGTTTTTTCTGGTAAACCATACAATCTAACTGTCTTGGAATTTTTTTTTTTTTTAATTATTTGGTGTTTTATTCCTTGAAAAAAATCAAATTGTCCTAAAAAAAAGGTTATGCTGCTGCGAGATATCCTCCGGAATCTGCGATTTCCTAAGCATGCAGAATTAGAAAATTTCTGTTATTACCATCGAATGGTATTTTAATTGGTAACAGAATGCTCCGCATTTTCTGGATTCCCCTCCAATACCAAAACCAATAGGCAGTCATTCTGAATGTTTTGGTGGTGTTTGATTTTCTTTTTCTTTTTTTCTTTTAGTTTGGAAATTAAAAATAAAAAAAGGTCCATAAAGATTTGGATGTGATTCTGAGATTTCTGGGCTTTTTCATGTTGTGTTCGAGGTGGCCCACCTCCGTGTAAGGCGATTTTGCCATTGTTTTGTGCGGGTGTGCCATCTCCCTTGCGACACTTCGGTTTTTCTCGTGACTTGGGATCACCATCATCAACATGAGCAGTACTTCATCCGGCATTGGTCTTCTCCATCTCGAGGACATGGAGGCCGGCCCTGCCAAGGTCAATGATGACCTCGACAATCACCTTGATCCCGGTGCTGACCCCTCCGATCCCTTCGACATTGCTCACACCAAGAATGCATCCCCCGAGACCCTCAAGCGCTGGAGGGTAATCCCTTTTTCTCCTTCTTAGTTCCTCTCTCTCTCTGTCTATATATATATATATATATTTTTGTTCCTCTCATTGTAATTGTAAAAAAAAGTTATTTATATGGGATTTAGTGGTAATTAAAATTAAATGAATTTTCATTTCAATTGTGTATGTAAGATAATTTTCTGTTTCTCTTGTTATTCGTTGCAATGGATGAGGGGGATTGTTTAGTGGTGCATTCAATTTTTAAATGCAAGCTTGGAATGATCACATTGCAAATTTCTATCTCTTACCGGAATTTTTGCTTGGATCAACATAAAAATGGAGGATGCATTATGTCTGGCATTTGTCTACTGTGTAAAACTTTTTCCCAATTTGCCATCATGTTATAAATATTTGAGCAGCCAGAATGAACTGAACTGAATCATGGGTGAAACATTTAGCTTGTTTCTTGTTATCATGCTGCATTCTTACATCAATCACTGTAGCTGGTTTGCAATTAAGAATGTTGTATGATCAGTCTGAAAAGTGGTTGCTTTACAATTAGGTCTTCTCCTTTTCTGGATAATTGCAATCACAACTTTCCAAAGAAAGCATATTGCCATGCTACAAAGTTAAACATCCTGCAGAAGCATTGGAGTAAACAGGATACACACAAATTTACGTCAACTGAAAGCATGCATACAACTGACTAGTAAAAAAAGAAAAATCCATTGCTTATTTTGTATCTAATGCCAACTGCATTTCTGGCATAGAAGCTTGTTAGAAGGTCTATTTGCAACATTTTCCAAGCAATTAAGCTTGAGCATGATAACCTCTTCCAAGTATGCCATTGAAGCATTAACAAATTGAGGAGCCTTCCCATGCCGTTTGCTGTTTCTTTCCCTCCAAACTATGTAGTGACCAAGCTAGCTTTACAATTGGGATGCTATTGTAATTTAACTTCAATTTATCCCTTTTTGGATTTGGTTTGCAATTATGAGGTTGTAAATTTATGTTAGATTGTTATGAGGTTGTAAATTTATGTTAGATTGTTTTGAAGTACATTTCTAAAGCTAAAGTTTATTTGGGATATGATGTTGTTGTTGAGTTATCCAGAGTTCACTGAGAAGTTTTGTAAGTGATTGTATGATGAAAAAAAAAAACGATTATGTGGTTGGAAGTTCAAAACTTGACATTCCAAGGTCTCATCGTGATTAAGGTACTTAATGAACTCAATGCATGCACTGCTTCTAGAAGTGAAAGTAGAAGATAACCTTTTGTTGTTTTAGCTTTGCAATGTCTAGCAGCTAAGCTGATATCTAATTTTTATTTTTACTGGGATACAAGCATGATGTCCTTGCAATTTTGTTTCCTTCTTTATGAGTTATTGATCAAGAAGTCGGCTCCTGTGCTTTGTAAGTTGTGCCAGAAATACCTTGCAGCTCAAAGAACACTTTTTTAACTCAGAGAAAGTGAAATAAACCTGAAAAGGTAATAGTATAATAATAACGAGTAATGACGGAGTGCATTTCTTAGGAAGTCAATGAATTCCATGTAGCATATTATACTTTGAAATACACGGACTTGAGGGAAGGTGTTGATATTGAAGTCAGTTTGCTACAAACCAGAAGCATCTCAGTCTTGGAAGGCTTATCAATATATTGATGGGGAACTCCAGAATCTCTACAGTATTGGAGACCCAAGAATTTTAAGCAACAATTCTGACAAATTCACATTGTCAGTATTGCTTCATTAGTTTCCGTCCCTATTATCAAGTCAATACTGTCTAATATTCTTGCAAGTGAGGGTAGTTATCTGTTGTGGCTGTTAACCTTCTCTGTGTGGGTAGAATGCTTCCTGGCCTTGTGATAGAGTGTTATTCTTAATAATCATAAGTGATTGACAAAAGCAACACATCCAGGCAGCAAAAGAGTGTGCGTTTAAGTCCAGTTACCTTATTTTTCATTGTCTGTGACAGATACAACTAATTTTATATTCATTGAAGAGGGTATTATTTGTTTGAACAGTTGGGGTGACTTATAAGAACATTTCCAGTTTTATGGTCAAGTTACAATCAATGTTTCTAGCAGAAGAGCAAATTTCAATGGCTGGATTCTGTTCTAATCCATTGGAATCAGTTTTTTTTCTGATGATCTTCCTTTTCCTTGCAAGTGTTGGTATTTCTTAGGAAGTGCAATGTATTGCTTAGTTGGTGATTCTCTATCACATTGAGATTTTTTCTTACAAGGTATAGTTTTTATTTGTTTGGTTTGAGTTTGGATGCCCAGATCCTTGGAAGGGTGGCAGATCTCGTACTTATAGTGGCAGTTCTTTTTGAGCATTTTCTTTATAATATTGTGGTTTTGTTGTCCTTGAAATCTTTGAATATTTACCCTCATATTCCCATAAAAGGTAATTGTTACCTTCAGGTTTAGTTGTCTGTTTTGATTATGTAAAGGTAATATACGTGTGAATGCCTCATTTAACATTGTCCTTGTAAATCTACATCATCCAGTTGTATCAGGCATGTCATGGACCTCAACAATATTTCATAAGAAGCATGCAAATATATCGTAAACTGTGTGCTCTCCAATTATAGTATTCATTATTGTAAATTGACCTTCCGCAATGAAATGGTTGTTTTGACCTTGTTATTGTTAGGTACATATAGAAATGGGAGGTAGCACTCACCCTGCTGATGATCTTTTCATTATTGTACATGTTCTAATAATGATTTCATTCAGATGGAGTTTATGGGCATGATTTCATTCAGATGGAGCTTATGGGCATTTTTTTATTTTTCATTTTTAATTGATTATGGATACCTTATCTATTTTACCTACAAAAAGAATTCATGCCTTTACAACCAAGCATTGCAAATTTCATCTAGCTTTTGATTATTTTGCAGTGTTCTATGTTGAATTCATGGCTTTTTTTTTTTTGGCACTAATTGGCTGTTTAGTTTTGGTCTTTGGGTAAGATGAGGAGTGGGGGACACTTATTTTTCTTAGAGAGCTTGGACTAATATATATTTTTTTCTTTTACAGCAAGCAGCACTTGTGCTAAATGCTTCTCGTCGATTTCGCTACACGTTGGACTTGAGAAAGGAAGAAGAAAAAGAGCAAAGAAAGAGGATGATTAGAGCTCATGCGCAAGTCATAAGAGTAATGTTAAATATTTTAATCAACATTTCACTTATATATTTTTGTTTTTGTAAAGTCTAACTGATGCCTGCTTGTTGGTTCAGGCAGCATTGCTCTTCAAATTGGCTGGGGAAATGCAAATTGGTATGGTGTTTTACCAAAATATTTAGCTATAGTTTTTCTCGCATTTCTATATTTGAGGACTTTCTTTGCCTATACTTTTCCTCCGTATCCAATTTTCATAAAATAGTAGAAATATAATGGTGATCCTTCAGTTTAGCTTGCGCAGTTGGAAAGTGCTTGGAGAAACATGAATATAAAATAGTGTTTAGGATAGAAGAATCCTTTCAACTAAGAAATCGTTGCTCTAGTAGTTAGAAATCATTTATTACTTCTCCATTTTTCACGTGTTGTATAGTTTGACCCCTATAGTCCCTAATCAGTTCCTTTCTTAAGTTAGAAATCCTAGCTATGCTAATGTACTGTTGAATAGGAATGTAATATGAGCCATGGTAATTGAGAACTACTTGGGCTTGGCTTGATGTTGACTCAAGCTTGATTGATGTGCTACTAAGTTGAGCTTGAGCTCAAGTGGATGATGAATGAGTTGAACCAAGTCCAAGTATTTTGATATTTTTCCTTTAGTAGGCTGCAAATTTAATTGAGCTTTTAATTTTTGTATTTTTAACATAATATAGATTTATATACCTAATATAGATACCCCCAATCCTGTTTCACCCGTCTCTTCTTTTTATTTAATGTCTCAAAACCGTGATATCTTTCCATTTTTAAACTTGATGCTTTTATAGTTTTTTCAAATTTCAAATTTATTTTTCATGATCTTTTGACATTTAAGAACCACGTGTAGAAAACTTAAAGAACAATTGTCCTTATTTCTTCTTATTCTATCTACAATGAAGGAGTACATCAAAATAAATAGGAACAGTGAAGTTCCTTATTAGAAAACAACTTACATGAAATAGAAGACAAAAAATAATAAAAGAAAGAAAAATTATTCTATTCTAAATAGAAACAAATCCTTAAAAACATGAGAATCAAAATAGTTGACTAAATCAGAAGAGTAAATAAGAAATATTCTCAAAATAAATTAGGAAATCAAGTTGCACTAATGTAGGAGAATCAGATTTCTGCACTCTCCCACAAGCTGGGTTATGAAAGTTAATCATACTTAGCTTGGATTTCAATCCTTTAAAAATGCTTTTAGGAAGAGCTTTAGTCAGAATATCTACAATTTGTGAACTTGTAGGGATATGGACTAGTTTGACTGACCCATTTTCTATCTTTTCCTCTATGAATGGCAGTCCAGCTCTATGTGCTTGGTCCTATCATGATAAACATGATTTTTGGCAATACTTATAGTACCTTTATTGTCACAAAACAGTGTCATAGATGTCACAATCTGAACTTTTAATTCTCCAAGTAATCTCATTAGCCAAATTCCTTCACAATTACCATGGGACATTGCTCTAAACTCATCCTCAGCAATACTCCTAGCTACAATAGCTTGTTTTTTACTTTTCCAAGTGACCAAATTACCCCAAACATAAGTAAAATATCCATTAGTGGACCTTCTATTTGTTATTGATCCAGGCCAGTCAACTTTGGTGTACACTTCAACTACCTTGTCCATTGACTTCTTAAAATATAGGCCTTCACCAGGAGTTTTCTTTAAGTACTGTAGGATGCGATGAACAGCCTTGAGATGCTCCTTGGTTGGATTATTCATGTATTTACTCACCATCCCTACTGCAAATCTGATATCAGGTGGTGTGAGGGAGAGGTAAATAAGCTTCCCAACTAGTCTTTAGTATTGCCCTTTGTCTGTGAGATAGCTTCCATTTCACTTCCAATTTTATCAGTTGAGTCCATGGGTGTATCAGTAGGTTTGCATCCAATCATGCCGGTTTCTTTGAGTAGATCAAGTACATACTTATGTTGATACACTGATATTCCATTTTTAGACCGAGCCACTTTCATCCCAAGGAAATATTTAAGGAACCTCAGTCCTTTATTTCAAACTCCTTTGCAAGGAGTTTCATCAAATCATCTATTCCTTCCTTGTGGTCTTCGGTGATTATGATATCATCCACATAAACAATAAGAATAACTTTTTTTCGTTCATTAGTGAACTTAACAAACATGGTATGGTCAGATTGACATTGAAGGAATCCATACCTCTTCATTGCTTTGGTCAATCGTTCAAACCAAGCCGAGGAAACTGTTTAAGTCAATACAAAGATTTTCGGAGTTTGCACACTTTGCCCGTGTTGTCTTGCCTTTGGAAACCAAGGGGAATTTGCATGTAGACATCCTCTTCCAAGTCACCATTTAAGAATACATTCTTGATATCAAGTTGGTGGAGAGCCCAATACAAGTTGGCTACTAGTGACAATAGAACTTTAATTGAATTGAGTTTGTTACTGAGCAAATGTCTCCTCATAGTCTCATAGTCTCATAGTCTATGCCATAGGGTTGAGTGAACCCTTTGCAACAAGTCTAGCTTTGAACCTGTTTATACTTCCATCTACATTGTACTTTATTGTGAAGATCCACTTACATCCAATTGGGTTTTTTCCTTTGGGCAAATCTGAAATTTCCCATGTCCCATTTTTCTCTAGTGCCTTGATTTATTTAAGAACAGCTACCATCCAATCTAGTTCCTATGTATTTTGCTTCATTGAGTAGACTATCAGTTCTTTTGTTTTTTCTTGCATTAACTTTAGGGTTTGAAGAATCAAGAGTGGTCTAAACAGGTTGGGTTTTGGAATCTGCATGGTTGATAGGTTGGGTAGGTTGAGAATCTGGTTTTGAAGGGGCTGGTTGAGATTCTAGTTGTGAAGGGCTGGTTGGGAATCTGGTTTTGAAGGGGGTTGGTTGGGAAATTGGCAAGTCAATAGCTAAGAATTGATAATCTTGAGTAGTATTCTCCCCCTGAATGTCATTCTTGCTGTAGTATGGAAGATTCTCAAAAAAGGTGACATCCATAGAGTTATAGAATTTTTTTGTGATGGGTGAGTAACACCTATAGCCCTTTTGGTTTGGGGAATAACCAAGGAAAATGTATTTTAAAGCTTTGGGATCAAGCTTGTTGCGGTTTTGTTGGCTAATATGAACAAAGGCAATGCAGCCAAAGAGTTTGATCGGAATAGAAGAGATCAACCAGTTTTTGGGTAGGAAGCAAGGAGAGTTTGACAAGGTGTTTTAAAGCCAAGAATTCGAGAAGGCATTCGATTAACTAAATAAGTTGCAGTGAGGACAATTTCTCCCCAAAAATATTTAGGCACATTGATAGTCTACAAGAGAGACCTAGTCACTTCTATCAAATGTTTGTTTTTACGTTTGGCAACCCCATTTTGTTGTGGGATGTCAATGTAAGAGCTTTGATGAATGACGCCATGATTGGTGAGGTAAGGGCCAAGAATAGAGTTGAAGTATTCCCTTCCATTGTTAGTTTTAAGGACTTGGATTTTGGCTTGGAATTGGGTTTGTAGCATGCTATTGAAGTTTTAAAAGATTTGGCTAATCTCAGATTTTTCTTTCATAAAGAATACCCAAGTGAGTCAAGTATGATCATTGATGAATGTAACAAACTACCTAGAATCTGTGATATTGTTAATTCTTTACGGTCCAAAATGTCATTGTGAATCATTGAAAAATGTTGAGATGATTTATGGGAAAAGGCTAGGGTAGGTATTACAGGTGTGCTTGGAAAGTTGACAGTTTCGCACTGAAAATCTTTAGAGATGTTATTGAATAATGAGGGAAATAGCCTTTTTAGGTATGAAATATTTGGATGTCCTAATCTATAGTGCCATAACATGATAAGGTTATCTTACTAGTATTAGAGGCTAAGGTGTACAAGAGTTTGTGGTCTCTCAAGTGCATCATTTTGAAGAAGGGAGAGCCTTGCACACATCCTAGCACTGCCAATATTCCTCCTTGAGCCCAATTCTTGACATTCACACAAGTTGGAAAAAAATTTAGTGACAACATCTATCCTTCGTAAGCTTACTGATAGAAAGTAGGTTACAACTTAAATTAGGAACATGGAGGACAGAGTTGAGTGTTATGTCTTTCGAAACTACAATAGCACCTGTTCCTGTCACCTTTGAAAGCGACCCATCAGCAATTTTTACAACAAAACTATCATAGCAAGGTCTATATGTGTTGAATAAGGATGCATCTCCAGTCATGTGACCTAATGCTCTTGAATCAACAATCCAAGATTATGTATTTCCCCGTTGAACACTTAAGGCGTTTAGGAAATTACCTTTTTGTGCTAGTAAACTAGTTCCAAAGGTTGCAGACTTATTTTGAAGGGTTTGTTGGAGCATCACCTCTTTGTGACTTTCCTTATGCCGTACCTTTGCAGAAGAAGAGTTCTCACTCATGCTAGCCATAATGGAAACTCATGTGGCTATAATCTAATGGTTTAGGTCGACTTGCTTTGATACCATATAGAAAACTTAAAGAACAATTGTCCTTATTTCTTCTTATTCTATCTACAATGAAGGAGTACATCTAAATAAATAGGAACAATGAAGTTCCTTATTAGGAAACAACTTACATGAAACGAAAAACCAAAAATAATAAAAGGAAGGAGAATTGTTCTATTTTGAAATAGAAACAAATTGTTAAAAACTTGACAATCAGAATAGTTGACTAAATTAGAAGAGTAAATGAGAAATATTCCCAAAATAAATTAGGAAATCAAGCTACACTAATGTCGGAGAATCAAATCTGCACTAATGTAGGAGAATCGGATTTATACACCATGGAACATCAGTTTTATGAAAAGAATTTTAAAAAATTAATATTAAATACACCAAAATCAAAGATTTTTTTATTAAATTGATGTTTTATGAATAAATTGTTATTTTCTATTAAAGGTTAAAATGGTACTTTTATATTTATTCCCTTTATATTTCTTGAAATTATTCTCACTGTACATTAACCTTATTTCTACCTCTATTTTATTTCCATGAACCAAATCTGGAAATACTTATTTCAGTTTTATTCCCATTGTATTCTATTCATGCGCAATAACTATTTCTTTCCACAAACGAAATTTACCCTTATAGTTGGGAGGTTCACTTCGACAATTGTCTATTCATGGTTGGGAAATCATGCCATACCCCCTCACTAATAGTACTGGTTTTTTTTGTTCTTTTATAGGATACTGTTTTATTTTCTTTTTTTTGTGTCTCAATTATTAGCCAATTTCGAAGGTTTGACACTTCTACTGATGTTTCAACCAAAATGAATGTTTTATGGCTGTTTTTGATCAAAATGGGATTGTTATGAACATACTTTGTATGAATGTGCTAATCTAGCTTTGCATTCATTTTCTCTTGGGAATCTTAACATAAGAATCAAATCTAATTTTGTTTTTTGCTAATGTGATCTTATTAAATTGTTTTATTGTGATTTTGTTTGTTGTGGAGGAGCATATTACTCAACTCTAAGATTGTTTTCTTTAGTTTTTTTCACATAGGTTTTTTTACCTTCATGTTAACCTATTTGTGCTATTTCAGTATCTGGGTCACCAGTTGCATCACCAGTTGCTGCTGGTGATTATGCTATTGGACTAGAACAGCTTGCTTCAATGACCCGGGATCATAAGTTATCTGCTCTTCAACAATATGGTGGCGTAAGTTACCTATGCATGTAATTTTCCTTGTTTTACTTGGTGTTTCTTTCATGGTTCATTTGTGTTATTCATGGTGGATTCCTTCATCAGGTTAAAGGGTTGTCAGGTCTGTTGAGAACAAATTTAGAGATCGGCATTAATGGGGATGAGGCTGATTTGTTAAAACGGAGGAATGCATTTGGATCAAATACATATCCACGGAAAAAGGGACGGAGTTTCTGGGTATATTATTTGTTTCTTTGCCCTTATTCTTTATTTCTATTCTTGCAATTATGGTAAAAATTGTATTGCTTACTGGTATTGATACCTATGCTGTTTCATAGAGGTTCCTTTGGGAGGCATGGCAGGATTTAACCCTTATCATATTGATTATAGCAGCTGCTGTGTCATTGGGGTTGGGAATAAAGACAGAGGTAAAACTTTTCTTCCTTGCATTGTATTTACTAACACTATGTTTGGATTGAAGGGAAGGAAGAGAAAGGAAAGGAAAAGAGTGGATAGTGGGAAACCTTTCCTTCATTTGGATTGCACTTGAATTAAAAGAAAGTAAAGTAAGGGGTGTTCAATAACCCTATGTTTCCTTTCCTTTCCCATCCTTTTACCCCAATTTGAGGGAATTGAAAAATGGGACCTCCATTTCCTTTATAACTCTCATTTTTCAATTCCCCCTAATCAGGAGAAAAGGAAGGAAAGGAAAGGATTAACATTAAGCTTGAAATGACTAGTATGTTGTTATTATCTTTTTCATTTTTTTTTCAAGAGTATTGGTATGCTTTAGTGTGCCATATACCCACGCCTCCTTCTCGACAAGAAATTACGCATTCTGGGCACCCATGTGGCCATGTCGTTAAGACATCAGCTTTGTATTAGATGTATCTTAGTGGCATGTATTGGATTTTTTTGTGTATTATTGTTTAGCTTTGGACATGGTGTTTTTTGATTAGACATGTGTTATTTTAGTGTTTTATAATTTTTTAGTAATAGATAATAGTGTATTTTAGTTAGAAAGTAATGATAAGTTATTAATGGTAATAATATCAGCACTAGATTTTAATAATTAATTACAAAGCCAATCATATTATTCATGAAAAACTTTATTCAAAAGGTATAATAGAAAAAGTTTATTATAATGTATTCTTTACTTTTCCTTTCCACTTCTTAACCAAACAAGAAATTTAAAACTCGTTTCCTTTCTTTTCTTCATTTTTTAACTAGCCAAACAAAGGAATGATGCATTTTTTCCTTTAAAAATGCTACCCAAACATGGTGTAAGTTTTGTATCCTTGGTAATGGTACCCTTGCCAGAGTGATAACTCCCCCCTTTTTCTTTGGGGCTTGAAAGTTTTAGTGATTTTATTATGCCCTTTTGCATGACTAGGGACTTTGTTATATGCAATGAATTTATTAAAACCAAAGAAGTTAAAATGTAAAGGCAGTAGAAATGCTAAATATCTGTATATGTGAGTGATTATGTGAAGCGGAAGTGTAATTTTAAATTTCAAGTACTTTTTGATCTTTATCTTTAATCTACTTCATGTGATGTTCTGAATGAATTGCACTGTTCTGAATTTTCTATATTTGCAATTTTGCATCTCCCTGGATGTATAGCATTATGATGCTTGTGTAATGCATGTGTTGACACTATGTTTTTTAAAAATCATTCTTGGGCATATGGATGTCATTGCATGTTCTTTTGGTATGGGTTTATTCTTAGTTCACAGGTTCCATAGCAAAGAAATATATTTTAATCCTATTCCACTCAAATGAATTATCAAATACGATACCTACTCTTTTTTCTTACACTTCTATTATTTTAATTGTTTTTGTTCCCCTGCTTTTATCACTAATAAATTATTAACTTTTTGTTGGTTGTGTTGGTCTACTTTGCATTGACTTTACTTTTTCTTTGTTTCACTCTTTGTTATTTCTTCTTTTGTTGCCCTTACTGCTACTTATCCCTGTTTTTCCTTTGTTTGTTTGATTGTTTTAATTGTTCTAATTGATATCCTTTATAGGGTTTGAATGAAGGATGGTACGATGGGGGTAGCATTTTCTTCGCTGTTTTTCTTGTTATAGTTGTTACAGGTATAAAATTTGATAATCTCCATAAATAGAATGCAGTAGTATCTAAGACCTTTCCACTGCAGCATCCTGTAATAAAAGTTTGCCTTGGCTTGTATAATGTTAGTGATTTTATAAGCAATATAATTGTTTTACTGCAGGATGATCTGTTTCTAACATTTTTTAATTATGTATTAGCTACCAGTGATTATCGTCAATCTCTTCAGTTTCAAAATCTAAATGAGGAAAAGCGAAATATCCAACTAGAGGTGTGTTTTCTTACAGTATGAAAGCATCCGTTTCTATTGGAACCTTAAAATTCAGTTTTATATTATTATTTTTTGAATATCCTTTCAGGTCATGAGAGGTGGTAGAATTGTGAAGATTTCAATATATGATGTTGTTGTTGGTGATGTTGTGCCACTAAAAATAGGTGATCAGGTGGGTCACCCAGTTTTTTCTTTGGTGCATTGATATTCATGTGCACTCAGACTCAGTAATGTTGAATGTTTTGGTTAGGTCCCGGCAGATGGAATCTTAATCACCGGCCATTCTCTAGGAATTGATGAATCTAGCATGACTGGAGAAAGCAAGATTGTAAGATGCTTGTTTTGGTAATGCATTTATCTGATTCTCAGGCTAAATTGTCTTTAAGCACAAGTTTTCTTATAGGTTCACAAGGATCAAAAAGAACCATTCTTGATGTCTGGCTGCAAAGTTGCAGATGGTGTTGGTACCATGCTGGTAATTTATATCTTGCTCTTTTCTTTCCTTGGTGTTCATGTTGTGCATTGCGATGATCTCTGCTAATTTATTAGTTGTGTAGGATGATGTTTGCGACATCCACTAAACTTTCTAGTCTTTCTTGTAATGGAGCTTGTGGAGAAATAGTAGGAATTGGTCTGTGCTTTTGTTTTGGCATTGCACTTATGTGTTTCTAATCGTTGCTTGATCTGTTTATTTTATGGTAGTGTGTTTTATAGAGAAACTTTGAAAGCTGGGTTTTTATTTGAGATAATGATTCTTTTTTATCATTTAACTCAAATTATCCTTCATGTTTCAACTCATTATATGATATGATTCTTGTACAGAGTTAGTAGTTCAAGAAAGATTGTTAGTATTGCTTTATGACTGCTAACTAGATTTTGCTTGTTTATGTATGTGTTGCTAAAATGTTTTTTGTAGGGATTTGAAAGAAGTTTTTTTAATCTGCTAAAAAACATACTAGGTTTATAGGATGAATTGCAGAATGTTGTTTTTTTTTTTTTTTTTTTCACTAAGGACAGCAAAATTTCAACAAACTGAAGCACCTGATTGGTAAGCTTGCATGTGACACTTGATGGTCTGTGTCTAAACACTGCCTTTATCCCTTTAGTAGTGATTTTGTCATGAGAACAGATAGACTCTTCTGTAGATTCTGATTTTCACTCTCTCTTGCATCATATTTGATCTTTCTTTAACAACTTGGATAGTCTAGACTGGTTTACTTTTTCACTTTCAAGCCATTGAAAAATCGTCTTTCTTAAATTATTGTAGGTGACTGGTGTTGGAATTAATACTGAGTGGGGATTGTTAATGGCAAGTATTTCAGAGGATACTGGTGAAGAGACCCCCTTGCAGGTTTCATCTTACTGTGCCTTAGCAGTGCCTAATTCCAATTCGTGTGATGCATCTTAAGCTTATTATTCATCATACACTATAGGTACGCCTGAATGGAGTTGCAACTTTTATAGGCATAGTTGGGCTTGCTGTAGCTGTTTCTGTGCTTGCTGTTCTTTTGGTCAGGTATGTTAAGAATAAATAAATTTTTACTTTCATGCTAGATAAACTGGATGTCATCTAATGCGTTAATATTTGATTGGTTTTTTAGATACTTCACCGGACATACAGAAGATCCAGAAGGAAATAAACAGTTTATCAAAGGACGCACTAAATTTGATGATGCATTTAATGATGTTGTTAAAATTTTTACAATTGCAGTAAGTACACTTAGTCCCTTAGGTCATTTTTTGTTATAGAAGGAGAATGAGATAGTAGTTATTAAGGTATAGAATAGAGTGAGTATAGAATGGAATGACTATTACATAGTTTGGTTTATTAGTAATTGAATGCATCTATACTATTATATGATGGGGAGTAACTGAGTGTCAGTGTCACTAGTTAAGTGACACCCAACTCAGTGAAATTACAAAAAAAAATAAAGAAGTAATAATAAATGGACAAATTAAGGATATAAATGTTATTTTACCTTCCTATAACCGAGGATTTGGGTCTCATTTATTTGATTTTGTTTTTCTTCGTCTTGCAATTATAAAACTACTCATTTCTTATTTTAGACTTCTTTTTCCATTCCACCTATTTTTCCTCTGTGTGCCAAAATCTAGTTAGGAATAGTGTTCATTTGGAATAATACCGTGGGATATGCAATAATAAAAATAAAAGAACATTTTACTTTATAGTAAAATAATAACAGTTCTTTTATGTATTTATTTTTCGCTTCTGTTTTTCTTTTCTTTCTTCATCTTCCTCTCACCAGGACCAGATCTAGTGGCTGCTACACTATTTTGGTGTTGCAACAGGCCAGATCCAGCTCTAGGGGTGCCTTAACATTGAAGATACTGGCCACAGCTTGGCATGGCCGACTAGCGCACCTTTATTGCTGTGAGGGTCTGATTGGGCTGCTGGCAGCCAGATCTGGCCTCTTGGTGTGCTTTTGTGGCATTGCCAGTGCTAACTCTCGCTAGTAGTGTACCATTTATGTGCTGTCAGAGCTAGACAACCATATGTGGCTTTTGCTGCTTAGTGTGCCCTTGATGGGCTGCCACAGCTAGGCAATTATATTTGGCTGTGGCCCTTTTTTTTTTTTTTTTTGTTTTCAGGCCACTAATGGCTGTTGGATTGTTAGCACCTGCTAATGTTCTGTCTCCATGCTATATGGATAAACTTAATATTCAAAATCTTTTTAAGTGTAAAAGTATCCACAAAATAGTGTCTCTAACTATAATCACAGGTATAGCTAGTACCTTGGGGAAGTGGGAAATAGTATTCCAAAATTGACTGGAATAGCAATACCTATAAAGTGAACCAAAAATGGGAATGATTGTTCCATCTGAAATAGCATTGGAATTGAATAGCTATTCCCATGAAGCAAAGATGATGTTAATATTTTTATGTTTATTTAACTGTAAGTTCAAGATTTCCTGACTCAGGGTTGTTCAGGTTACAATTGTTGTTGTTGCTGTGCCTGAAGGGCTTCCTTTGGCTGTTACCTTGACGTAAGTTGAAGTTTGAGCTTTTGGTTCTTACTATACTAACAAATGAGCTCGTGCTGTAGTACATTTTCCTCTACTTTTTCTACTCTTTGATTCATGGTTTTGTTTTCTACTTGAACTTTTACAGTCTGGCTTACTCAATGCGTAAGATGATGGCAGATAAAGCTTTGGCAAGTTCTTTTATTCTAGTTTTTAAATGTTTGACTTCCATGATTGCTTCTTTATCAAATTCTTTTGGTTTAATAGCATCTTTATCTAACAGACATAGATATACAGGTGCGTCGTCTTTCAGCATGTGAAACCATGGGCTCTGCAACAACAATTTGCAGTGATAAGACTGGAACATTGACTTTGAATGAGGTTAGTTTTGCGTGCATTTTGTTATCACCACTATGATTTTGTGCTTTCTATATTCACACTTGATAGATGGGGAAATGTCTCTATATATGTTGGGCTCCTTCCATTACAAAGAGACTTACAAGAGGAAAGTAGCGACTGAAAAAGTCGTAAAAAAATTATGGATTCCTTTCTATTGGGGCTTATATAACCTTTTCCTTTCTGTTAAATGAAATAGGGTTAGGGCTTATATAACCTTTTAGTTTTCTAATATTCTTCTTGTTCTAATTGTAGTTAAAATATATTGTAACTTAGTAAACCTTAAGTGTAAACTATTTGGATTCTACCAAGTAAATTTTTTTCTTCCATTCCACCTTATTTATGGCCATACTTTTTGAAAGGCATTGGCGCACCTAATCCGTACTTATTCTTCACAACCTGTGGTTTATGTTCCCCCTTACTTCTATTTATTTCTATGTATATTAAATCATTGTCGCATTCTATGTATATTAAATCACTCTTACGTTCTAGTGTTTTCTTATGTCTTTGGTGTACGTGTCTAAGAGCCAATTTAGCATTGCTTTTGCGGTTTAAAAAAATTTGGGTTGTAAAATGTGCTTTTAAAAAGTGTGGTGAGAAAAGTGTGGTTAGAAATTTAAGTGTTTGATATTGCTATGAAAAAGTCATGTCAGGAATTGAAATGTCTAAAATATATGTATAAAATAATAAAATATTATAAATATAGATATAATAAAGTGATTTTCTATCCCAAATGCACTCTTTCACCTCCAAAGCACCTTTTTTGCACCTCTTAGGAGTTTTTTGGTTTGGATTGGAAAACTAGGCTTTTAGACTGAAAAGCCAACATTTTTTTATTGTTTAACATTGCGTTTGGGTCAAAAGCAGCTTTTGCTATATTCAACATCAATGCTAAACGAGGCCTAAATATTATTCTTAGTGTATCATCAATAGGTACCATCTCTATGTACTTAAGAACGGTTTCATTTCTTATTCCATATTTCTTCCATTACTTCTCAACATTCTTATTTCAGCTTCTCTATCTTGTTTCTATCTGTTTCCTAATTGCTTAACAATTAAGATGATAAGTGAAGAAATCTCTAGAATAAAACTATTTTATTTTTTTATATTTTTCTTATTACAATGCTAGAATTGCATATATTGGCTAAAGACTGAATATTCTCATCCTTAAAACCCAAGATTTTAATGCATTAAAACACCAAATCAAAGGAGTAATTTACTCTCTACGCATAATAGAAAAATATTTAATGGATTTGGTGTAACTACCCAAATCACTTCTTATTCTAAAAATAAGAGATTTAACAAAAATAGATAAAGTCAACTAATCAAGTAATAATGAAGATTAGATTTTCACACTCCCTTTCAAGTTGGGTGGCGTGCCTAGCTTGGACTTCAGATTCTTGAAGTTGTTTCGAGAGAGAGTCTTAGTATGTGTGCAGTTTGGAGACGTGGGAGTATAAACTAATCTAACAATTCTTTCCTCTGTCTTCTTTTTGATGAAGTGACGATCAATCTCTACATGTTTAATCCTATCATGATGAACAAGATTCTTTGCTATACTTATGGTAGCTTTGTTGTCGTAGAATATCTTCATGGATTCTTTTGCAAAGATCTTTAACTCCCCTAGCAACCTTTTCAGCCAAATTCCCTCACATGTGCCATGAGACATAGCTTTAATCTCAGCTTCCACGCTACTTCTAGGCACCACAAATTGCTTCTTACTTCGCCAAGTAACCAAATTTCCTCACACATAGGTACAATAACCAGTAGTTGGTCGTCAGTCAATAATGGATCTAGCCCAATCAACATCAGTGTAAATTTTAACATTTCGGCGCAATGTCTTCTTAAAATATAACCCTTTGCCAAGACTCTTCTTTAAGTATTGTAAGATTCAATACACAGCCTTCAAATGTTTCTTGGTTGGGTTGTTCATGAATATGTTTACCATGCTAATTGAAAAACCAATATTTGGTCTTGCATGAGAGAGGTAGATGAGTTTCCCAACAAGTATTTGATATCTACCCTTATCTGTTGGTGGACTTCCTTCTTCCATTCCTACCTTATTCATTGTGTCCATAAGGGTGTCAGCAGGTTTGCATCCAAGCATTCCAATTTCCTTTAGTAAGTCTAGGACATACTTACGTTGTGAAACAGAGATGCCATTCCTTGAGCGAGCTACCTCCATGCCAAGAAAATATTTGAAGTGTCCTAAATCTTTGATTTCAAATTCTTTGGCGACGAGGTTCTTTAGGTTGCTAATTTCTTCCACAGTCTCCAGTAAGAATAATATCATCCACAAACAATAAGAATGGCTATTCTTCTTTCAGGTGAATGTTTGACAAACATGGTGTGATCGGTCTGGCATTGTGCAAAAACATACTTCTTTACCACTTTTGTCAATCTATCAAACCATGCTTGTGGGGATTGTTTGAGACCATATAAAGACCTTTGAAGCTTGCATACCTTGTTAGAATTGTCCTAGTTTTTGAATTCTTGAGGGATTTTCATGTAAACTTCTTCTTCTAGGTCGCCGTTAAGAAATGCATTTTTGACATCTAGTTGGTGGAGTGGCCAGTCTAGATTTGCTGCCAATGATAATAACACTTGGATTGAATTAAGTTTAGCAATCAGAGTAAATGTCTCCTCATAGTCAACACCATAAGATTGAATAAATCTTTCTGCAATAAGGCGAGCTTTGAATCTATTAATACTTCCATCTGCATTGTGCTTGACAGTAAAAATTCATTTGCACCCAATTGGATTTTTTCTTTGGGTAGTTTTGAAATCTCCGATGTTTTGTCTAGGGCCTTGATTTCTTCCTAAACATCCATTTTTCATTTTGGTTGCACGAGTGCTTCAAGAATATTATTGGGAATCTGCATATTGTTTTGTGTGATAACAAAAGCATGATAACTGGGTGATAAACCTTTATAAGAAACCACATTACAGATTGGGTGTTGAATACATGATCTCACATCTTTCCTTAGAGCAATCAGTTGACCAAGATCAGCAAAAGATTCAATTGAATCAAATTCAGTAAGAGTGTTACTTGTGTTGGTTTCAAGTATCTCTGGAATCGGTTTAGATTCTTGGTTTTACTTTGAAGGTGCACATTCTCCTATATCCTTCTGAGTTTTTTGTCTTCTTGAATAGTCAATCAATTCTTTGTTTGTTTTCTCGTGTGGACTTCGGGCTTGGAGGATCTAGTTGTTTTGGACTTGAAAGGGAGTTGGCGAATTTGGTTTGATGTTTTGGACATGAAAGGGAGTTAAGAAGTGTTTGGTGGTTCAGTAATAGGATCTTCCTAAAGCTGATATTCCCATGTGATTAATTTCTCCCCCTGAATGGCAGTCTTGGGAAAGCAAGGTTGATTTTCAAAAAAGGTAACATTCATGGAATGGTAGAATTTCTTTGTTACTGGTGAATAACACTTAGAGGTGTAAATGATACATTAGTACTCGCAAGCTACTCGGATTTGACTCGAGTAAAACTTAAATTCGGCTTGGTTAGTATTGAGTTGAGCTCGAGTTTGAATAGCTCGACTTATTGATTAAGCCAAATTCGAGCATTCTTATACTCGGCTTGAGTACCTCGCGAGCTTAATCAAACTTTTATATTTTAATATATTTTAATTATAAAATATCTCGAACTTGAGTTCGAGCTTAAGCACAAATAATTGAACTTTTGTTGAATATAAGAATCGAGCTTATTTTTACATGTTAATCGAGCCTAATCGAACGAGCTCAAGTAGCTCAATTTTTATCTCGAGTCAAGTTCGAGCTAAAAAAATAAAACTCGATTGAGTTCGAGCCAAGTTTTGAGCCTCGAATTTGGAATCGAGTTTGAGCTTGAGCTTAATACTGTATTGGCTCGAACTCGATCGATTAGACCCCTTGTAACACTTGTATCCTTTTTGATTCAAGGAGTACTCGAGAAATATGCATTTGATGGATTTGGGATCTAATTTGCTTTGGGTTGGTTGGCTGGTAAGAACAAATGCAGTGCATCAAACACTTTAATGAGAATAGAAAAGATGATTCAAAGGTGAGGATAGGAACTAAGATAGGATTGGTAAGGGCTTTGAAATTTCAGGACTTGAGAAGGCATTCTGTTTATAAGATATGTAGCAGTAAGAACAGTTTCACCCCAAAAATGCTTAAGTACATGGGCAGCCATCATGAGGGATCTGGCAACTTCCAACAAATGTCGATTCTTTCTTTCAACAACACCATTCTGTTAAGTAGTGTTGACACATGAGCTTTGATGAATTATACCATGCGTCATTAGATATGATCCAAGAATTGAATTGAAGTATTCTCTCCCATTATCGGTTCTCAACACTTGGATTTTGGTTTTGAATTGAGTTTGGATCATATTGTTGAAGTTTTGGAATAACTGGCCCACTTCTGATTTTTCCTTCATATTTAATACCCAAGTAACCCCGGTGTGATCATCAATAAATGTGACAAACCATCTGGAGCCAGTAATGTTATTTACTCTGGAGAGACCTTAAATGTCACTATGTATCATTGAAAAAGGATGGGATGATTTATAAGGGTGATTAGGATATGTGGTACGAGTATGTTTGGATAGTTGGCAGTCTTCACATTGAAAGTTGTTAGGATTTTGATTGAATAATGAGGGAAAACAACCTTTTGAGGTACAAAAAATTTGGATGACCTAACCGATAGTGTCACAACATGATCGTACTATTTTTGTTATTACTGGAGGATGAAGCCACACAAGAGGTCTTTTGATATTGTCTTTCAGAATCATTAGCTCTTAGGACATAGAGTCCCGCACACATCTTAGTATTGCCAATCATCTTTCCCGAATTCAAATCCTGAAATTCACACATATTTGAAAGAAATTTAGTAACACACTTAAGGTCTTTTGTAAGTTTGCTTATAGATAATAGATTGCAACTTAGATTTGGGACAAACAGAATAGAATCAAGTGCTATCTCATTGGAAATAATAACAGAACCTGTACTGGTTACTTTTGAAAGTGACCCATTAGCAATTCGAATTGTGAAATTTTCATGACATGGGTTGTATTTACTAAATATAGATGCTTTCCCATTCATATGGTCTGAAGTATCTGAATCTACAATCCATGAATTTGATTTCTCTAGTTTTATACTCAAGCCACTTAGAAAATTACCTTATTGTGCTAAAGAACCTGTTCAAATAGAAGTGATAATGTTCTGCAGTGATTGAGAAATGGTAGCTCGGAGGTTAGAGGTAAACTCTGACAGCGGGCTCTCCTTTTGATTGGCCATGTTGGACTCCAAGTGAAAACTTTCAAAGTTTCATATTGTGCTCTAATACCATGAAGAAATCTCTAGAATAAAATTATTTTATTCTTCTATATTTTTCTTATTACAATGCTAGAATTGCATGAAAATATATAGGCTAAAGATTGAATATTCTCAGTCTTAAAACCCAAGATTTTCATGCATTAAAGCCGCCAATCAAATAAGTAATTTACTCTCTACACATACTAGAAAAATATCTAATGGATTTGGTGTAATTACCCAAATTACTTCTTATTCTAAAAATGAGAGATTTAACTAAAATAGATAAAGTCAACTAATCAAGTAATCATGAAGATTAGATTTCCACAATAAGCATAGTTGATCTTATGCTATTTTGTTATTGTCCCTTTTATTTCAGCTATTTAGTTTTCTGATTATCACATTCATGCATTATGCTTAACAGCCTGTTTTTTTCTATTCACGAATGATTGATCAAAAATTCTCAAAATTATACTCCTAGGGACTTCTTGACTACCAATTCTCAATCAAAGTCTAATCCATGTCTCTAAACTTACGAAAATGCATCCCATGCAGTCTAATAATACTTTTCTTCAGTGAAAACAGGCCCTGCATGTGAAACTTTTCTACATTAGTGATGATATGCACGTGCGCGCACGCACACACACAACCACACACACACTTGATTGCAGTATCTTCATCTCTTTCTCATCTCAAATTTGTGCCCTGTCTTAAGATTTTGGCTAAACCATTGACAAATTCTTCTGCTTGTGCCTCCTTTTTTTTTTTTTTTTTTAATAATGCCATATTTCTATCCTTACTTGCTCTTGTTCGGTCAAAATGTTTCACATGGTTTTTCCAAGAAGTTTGGCTTATTGCAATTTGTTTAGCAGTTTCTATTTTTTAATCCATTTGTTTGAAAGCTTTTAGATATCAGTCTGATTACTAGTATCTCAGATGACTGTTGTTGAAGCTTTTGTTGGGAAAAAGAAGATGGATCCACCTGCTGATTCTTCCCAGTTGCACCTATCAGTTGTGTCTCTGTTGAGTGAAGGAGTTGCACAGAATAGCACTGGGAATGTTTTTGTGCCTAAGGTAAGATTATTTCTGTTATTTATTCATCTAATTCTTTATGCTAAGGTCAAGATATAAATAATTATTCATGCATAAGAAAATATTAGTTTTTGTCTAAGCTTAAACTATTTTGCATTTTTGACTTATTAATTTTCTGTTGATTACCTTTGTTATTGGCTATAAGTCACAGGAAATCTTACTGAATTACATTTGCTTTTCCAGGATGGTGGTGATGTTGAGATTTCTGGATCTCCCACAGAAAAAGCTATCCTTTCTTGGGCAATAAAGGTACCTGCATAACTTGTTCCACATCTACTTTACATGTACTTTTGTTTGTACATACTAATCATTGAAAACTTTATTGCAGCTGGGGATGAAATTTGATATTATCAGATCAGAGTCCACTATTCTTCATGTTTTCCCTTTCAACTCAGAGAAAAAGCGAGGTGGTGTTGCATTACGACAGGTAGTGGCTTCAGTCTCACTTCTTGATGCTTTCTGACTTTGTTGATACTACGATATTGGAAAGCTTTAAATGCAATTATCATAAGTAACTAAAATAATTACATTCTTTGTTTTTCTCTCCTGGGAATATTGACATGATTGTGCATGATTATTTTACAGACATTGGATGTGTATTTGAGCTTGACAGAAGCATCTTGGTTATTTCCTCAATTCTCTTTTTTTCCTTTTTTTAAGGAAGATGAAATTGTTCAAACTTTTGACAAACAGGTTTCTTAAGCATGAATTATAAATAAGCACATTTTCCTGCCCACACCAGTTTCTGGTTTCAAACATATCAAAGAAAATTTTGGCCTCTTTGAACTTTAGGTCAGATGGTGGTGAATTCTAATAGCCAATTGCAATTGGTGGTGTCTTGCTGTATGAATTCAAATCATTGTTAGCCTCATTTTCAAATTTAATTGGTACCCTGAAACATTCATCAAATCATGTAGAGTGGCTGATTTTTTAATTTCAGTTTACATTTCATTTTAGATGGTGGTGAATTTGAATGCTTATCGTAATGAATGTTGTCTGTTTATATGAAATCATATCACTATTAATGCATTGAATGAACATTCAATCAAAATGTTAAGTGACAACATTTTCATTCCAATTTATAATTGATATTGTGAGTGTATTATTGGACTGGGATGGGGACATGAATGCTAGAAACATTTGTTGTCCAGAACTTCTTGACTGGGTCATGCAGGCTTGTCTTTTGTTTTATTAGGCTGGTGGATTGAGAAATAAATCGGCCAAACATAGGCTGGTTTATTATTTTGTATTTTGGGACTTATAATACTAAGTGAAAAGTAAGTCCTTAAAAAAATAGTAATTAGAGAAAAAAACCTAGGAGAGAAAGAGAAGAGAGAAGAGTGAAAGGGGTAGCAGAAGCTTGTGAGGTGGCATAGAGGGGGGAGCTGGGGGAAGGAGGTCTAGTCTGTGGATGAGAGAGAAGTCTTAAGGGATAATACTAATCTGGCACCCCCATGGCTAACCATGCCAGAGCTGAATCAGCTTGCCCCTCCTGTGCTGAAGAAGGCAGGAGCCAGATATGGCCCACTCAGTGGGAAAGGAGGGTTAAAGAAGAAAAAAAATGAAAAGGCAAAAAAGAAAAGAAAAATGGAAAATAGGTTAATGGGTTTTGGGAAACAAAGGTGGTTCTGTTGGGTGAAAAAAAATGTTTGGGTGGATGATAAGAGTTTTGGCCTTGTAATTTTTGGTGAGAGAAAAGAAAGATAAAGGTAGGAAAAGAGATTAAGGAAAAAGAAGAAAACAAATGTGAAAAATTTTATTATTCTGGCCTGTTTCTGATTTCTCTCTTTGCCCTTATTTATTTTTTTCTTTGCTTTTTTAAATATTGTTTTATCAAAGTTTTGTAATTTTAAAAGAAGATACTGACTAAAATTTTTTTATTGATTTATACTTTTAAAAATGGAAAAATTTTGCCTTACACAGTGAAATGCAGTGGATTTGCTAGTATTTTTTTTCTTATTCAGCCTTTGTATGAGATATGGATCTCTTATGGGATTTGTGGAGTTTTGGTGTAGGAAAACACTGATTCCTAGCTGTTCTAAGTATTTAACTTGCCTATGTACTTTGATGCTAACTTGATCAAGCTTTTTTACTTGATGGGAATATGGCTGAAGTGTGGTTCAAATGCTTTTTGGTAGGATTTAGTTAGGTGATGCAGAACATTAAAAAATTAAAACTTTTTTGCGTGATATTTTGAACTGTCAGGACTATTGATATTAATAATTTAGACAATGTTGATTAATGAATTTTTTCTATTTTGCAGTCTGATTCTGAAGTTCATATACACTGGAAGGGAGCAGCTGAGATAGTTTTAGCCTCATGTTCTGGATATCTTGATTCAAATGGTTGCTTGCAATCCATGAATGAAGATAAGGTTATTGATTATGTATATTCTCACACACAAACACATGCATGCACACTCTTGGAAGATATCCTAGGAAAAGATATGTTAAGGGAACTTCCTTCTCATTTCTGATACACACACACACACACACAAATTGTCCTCCAGAATTATCTTTAGCTTTTAAACATTTTTACCATTTTTAGGCTGACTGCTTGCTGTATTAATAGGTATCTGATGGTATGCAGACTTATTATTGACGTAGGGAAACCATGTGTAAATACATTATGAAAGAATGGTTGTTCATTAGAAATAAAACCTCGTGTTAAATACATTAGGAAACAAAGGTTGTCTCTTGCTCAGAAATAAATTGCTTTGTCCATAATAAGTCTACAATTTACTATTGCTTGATTGTAAATTGGACTTTGTTGCCACTGGTTCCTTCCAGAATACATTAAATTAACCTATGTGATCATTTTTTTATTACATAATTATATTAGTATTATGTATTTGCACACAACAATTTTTAAAGTTGTTCATGATTCCTAAATTCTTTTTATCTGTTTCATTATTACCACTTAAGATAAATTTTTCTGCTGTAAGTTTGTTTGTCATGCTGCCTATTATTTATACCAGTTTCATGGTAACTGACATGTTTCTTTGCAGCATTGCATTTTGTTAATTGGTGTTTGAGAAAATTTATGCAAGGCATCAGTTCCTTCTAACCATAAATAAATGGGCAATGATTCGATATCAGCATATGCTTTTAGTTTTATGTTTAACCTCCTTTTTACAGGAATTTTTTAAGGCTGCTATTGACGAAATGGCTGCAAATAGCCTACGCTGTGTTGCCCTTGCATACAGATTATGTGAAAAGGAAAAAGTTCCTACTGATGAAGAGACCTTTAGTGGTTGGGTCTTACCTGAAGATAACCTTGTTTTGCTTGCTATCGTTGGTATAAAGGTACACATTTTTTAGTATAAGTTCCCCACTTCTTTTACCAAATGGCATTCTACACAACTGATTATCAATATATTTGTAGCTTGTCTATCTTTTTACCTTTGCCTCTATGTTTGATATCTACACATGAATTTATGCCAAGCAGCTCTGAATGGCAACATGAAGCTTTGCATCAACAATGGAAGCAACTCCACTTTCCCTTTTAAGTGCTACATTTTTATGAGATATATCACTAAAAAAATGTTACATGCATGCACATACAAGCAAGTAAATCTGTTGCTAGAGACAAAATTACTCATTGAAGTTTTGGCAATGATCTATTTAATCTTTATGCCATGGCATTTCTCCCTTTTTTTCTCCACTTTATAACATTATAACGCCATTCTTTTTGTGCATGTTGGAATTTAGGAGTGCCGTTAATGCTCAACTTATTATTAGTGCTTTGTCGCCACAGAGATTGCATCTTCTATTTTCTAATTATTGAATATGTTCTGGTCACTAAATGTCAGTACTTAAAAAATTCATTGTTTCTGCTTCGGTCATTGCAAAGAATTTACTGACCGATCAATGGTTTTATGCTGATACAAAAAGAAAGCTTAAATTCCCTTTCACATAGGCCCTCAAGTTTGATTGAGAAATATGCCAACAATGGAATGCTCCTGTTATTAGATAATAATCATCTATTAAAATGGTGGATTTCCTTGAACACTTGTTAAAATTTTTTTATACAGCTCCATAATTCTCTTCCATTTCTTCATAATTATTAGTTTGGATACATCGTTCAAATGTGATGTTACTTTTCGCTGCCAAATTCTAGAGTTGTCTTTTCCCTGTGTAGAAAGAGTTTGGATGCATTCTTCTTCATATTTATGTGCAAATGAGCAAAAAGGGTCCCCTTGGGGTTTTGCCAGTTTTGTTCAATTATTTGAATTAATCATGAATAGTCCTGCTTCATCGTGAACTAGATTTCTTCTCAAAGTGCAACTGCTGCCTTTTTTAGCTAATAGAATTCTCACCTGCAGGATCCTTGTCGCTCAGGTGTCAAAGATGCTGTGAGAATATGTATGGATGCTGGTGTTAAGGTAATTTTGATGGCTTTGTAAGATTAGCTTCAAACGATATTATTATACCCTTGGTGCCTAGCAATGCTACTTTTATAGATTTCATATGTTGAATTGTCAAGTTCTCCATTCCTTTGGTTTTATTTATTTACTTTTTATTTTTAATTACTGTAACTTGAAACAAATACTTGATATTTTTGATGAATGATAATGCTTTATGCAAAACTACACAGAAATGTCGATATATAACAATTAAATTACATGAAAATCACAAATTGGAAACCTATATTTTTTAATCTTTAGGTACGCATGGTCACTGGAGACAATATCCAAACAGCAAAAGCAATAGCTTTGGAGTGTGGGATACTTAGTTCTGCTCAAGATGCTACTGAGCCTACCATCATTGAAGGGAGGGTGTTCCGTGCCTTACCTGAGAAAGAAAGAGAACAAGTGGCCAAGAAAATAACGGTATCTGTTGGCTACAATTTCTTGATTATATTATATTGCCTTTAGTTCCTGATAACTTCTCTCAAATTGAGAGTGTTGTGTAGGTAATGGGGAGATCTTCTCCAAGTGACAAGCTTTTGTTTGTTCAAGCCTTACGTAAGGGAGGGGATGTTGTGGCTGTAACTGGAGATGGTACCAATGATGCTCCTGCACTTCATGAGGTTTGTTTGTAGGTTAACTTCGTTAGGTTTTTTTTTTTTTTTTCTTGTAATGATGATGCTTTACGATGCGTCTTATATGTGCTAAGCATTGACTTAGGGTGTGTTTGATAAACCATTGAAAATTTTAATGATTTTATTTGTTTTTCAATATGTTTGATAAATTATTTTCAGAAACCACTTAATGGAAGATTTTCAATCAAAAAAATGTTGAAAATGCTCAGTAGCTTTTAGCTACTTAATGTATGACGTCAATTTTTATTTAAGGATTTTTTTTAAATACATTAAGCTTAAATTCTTTCCTTTTAAATATTTATTCTTTCTTTTGAAACTTTTATGAATTAAAAATAATTATAAAACCATATTCCATTTTATAATAGATAAATAAAACATCTACTAACCATTTAACTTTCTATAGCATACCAAACAACTTTTATATCATAAATTCAGTTACTTAAATTTTTCAAAACTTCAGCATTGAATTTGTTCAGTTTATCAAACGACACCTTAGTATCTTGTGTACCCTCAGTATACTTTCATATCCACTTTCATACCCATTTACAAATGCCAAATTATATGCCCTTTCTACTACAATATTGTACCTTCACTGATGTAATAATGTAAAAATTGTGTGACCGTTAGTGATATGTCATCGAACGTGGAAAATAGTTCTATTGCATACTACCAGCTATGTAAACTATCATGCAGCAATTCCCTTCCATTCAAAACTTTGTTCCTAAATTTAATGAACCCTTACTCTGCTTCTAGTACTGCATGGTGACTACACCATTTCTTCTATACCTTATTTTGCTTATCTCCCCATTTTTTTGCTTTTTTTATTCAATGTTGATTGCATTTTTACTTTTTCTGTATTTTAGGCAGATATAGGTCTATCTATGGGTATTCAAGGGACTGAAGTTGCAAAGGAAAGCTCAGATATCATTATATTGGATGATGATTTTGCTTCAGTTGTGAAGGTCAGTGTGCGCTTTCATGCTTACACATAGATATTATTGTTTCCTCTTTTCCTGCATCCTGTACAGAATTTGAGGAAAGGCTCATATCAAATTTCCAGCAATTGCAGCTCAGTATTGTATCCTTAGTGTAGGTTGTTCGCTGGGGTCGTTCTGTCTATGCCAATATACAGAAGTTTATACAATTCCAGCTTACAGTTAATGTTGCAGCTCTTGTAATTAATGTCGTTGCAGCAATATCCTCTGGTGATGTTCCTTTAAATTCAGTGCAGGTACGGCTCTCTCTGCCCCCCACTATGTCCTTACATCCCTTCTAATTTAATTTGATTATAGTCAAATGGTTAGACCTTAATAAATGTTCCCTAATCTCCACCCCCCCCCCCAAAAAAAAAAAAATGGTTGAAATACCCAAATTTACCCCGACTCTGCCTATGAAATTTGGTTTTCTGGTTAACTGTTCTATGGAGTGTTGAAAGTTATGCTTTTCATATTAGTACCATAGCATCATCATCGAGGGTATGAATAATCTATGGATTTCTTTTGTTGTGTGCATCCTTGATGATGTATGTTTTGTAGATGGGTTGGTTCCGTAATTACCAGGAACATTTTACGTTTCATTACCCATTATGGGAATGGGAACAGGATATTCTCTTTAGCGTATTTTTGTTGTAAGCGGGGGATAGGCTTAGACTTAATTGGTAGCTATTTTGTGTTGTACTATGTGGTAAAATAGTTATTGGGTTGCCTATACTTTTGATTATTAGTGATTGTAAGCAATTTTTTATGAAATAAATTATTTTAATTTAATGAAGGTGTTGGAAGGGATAGAAGTGGTTTTTCCTTTTAATAAATGTAATGAGCTTTTCTTTTTCTTGAAGGCTCCGGTTGGTAACCATGAAATGACTTCCAGAAGATATTTCCTCGTTTTCCCATGTTTGGAAGGGAGAAAATAGCTTGGTCAACTATAAATAGTTTTGGGTCAAAAAAAAAATTAAGACACATGGATTTATCTTCCTTATTTTAGGACATAAGACAATTTCCGTAGACTTGGACTCCGCTTTGCTCCCATCTCCCTCAGCAAAATGCACAAGCTGCCCATCACCAGCCACCATGAAATCCATAGATCTCTTCTGACTCTTCATCTCTTTTATTATTCTTCCCTCTTTGATTTTTCACAAACCCAAAAATCATCCCAACCTTAGATCTCCCTCTACTATCTTCAATCATCCTCCACCTTCTTTTACTTCAATCTGCGTCACCATCTTGTTACTTGGATGTTGCCTCATGATCTAAGAACGGAGAATATCAACTCCCTGGAACCCATCACTGATGCACAGATTTCCTTATTTTTCTTCATGAAACCATAGGTTATTAAATAATTGTGGGTTTTATCCATTGGTGATGGTTTGTTTTGGAGGTCTGACAGTGCTTAAGTTCATTTGTTTGATTTTTTTTCTTTATGCTACTAGCCTGCATAGTTTGAGAGAACAAATATTTAATTAAACCACATAAATTCTTGGAGTTTGAAGTTCTTGGAACTCTTTTTCTGCTTTCATGGAGTTAGAAAAAAGGCCAAAATATGATGGAAAAAGATTTTTCATTTTATACCAAATATTACAAAATGTTTTTGGTAGAAAATCCAGATGTCAGAAAATTTTTTATTTTCAGGAAAATTTTTTCTGGAAAATGTCTTTTTTTTCTGAAAGTCATTTTCATGGTTACCAAATGGAGCCTAAGAGTGTAGATGGGCTTTTCATGTTTTAAAAATGGGTATTACAGTTTAGGCTATAAGGTCAAAAAAGCTCTCAAACAAAAATTCAATAATCATTAAAGCCCCTATCATTTTATTGCAATCAATTAAGCCCTCGAACATCTATTTTCATCAATTGAGTCCTTATTAAATGAAAATTGGTTAATTGTCCACACCCATTTCCATCTAGTCGAGGGCTTAATCGGGGTGAAAATATATTTTAAAGGGTTTGATTAGGTGAAAATAGATGTTTAAGGGTCAATTGAATTGAAATTTAAAATTCAAGGATTGATGGATTGCAATAAAATGTAAAGGGTTTAAATGATTATTGAAAAATTTTTTTTTTTTAACTCTTTTGCTTACAGTTTAAAAACCTGAATAACATTAATTTATTCAAGTTCTGACAAGGGGTAGGCCATGAATTAACAAGCTATTCCGGGAATTTTTTTTTTAGGGGTAGGCCATGAATTAACTAGCTGTTCATTCATAATTTTTTCAATCTCTATCTGTCTTATGTGGAGATTAAACTTTAAAATTAGTGAGTTTCTGTTAGAATAGAGTTAAAACTTCATGTTGTTTTCGTTGAGGTAAAGAAAGGAGAAGAACAACTAGTAATAGAAGTTACTGTAATTTGGTCAACCTAAGCAACTATGTACGTTAAAAATGTCTCTTTACAATGACCATAAGTTGAATGTTTGAATTCTCTTGGTACAGTTACTATGGGTTAACCTGATCATGGACACTCTTGGAGCACTTGCATTGGCTACCGAACCTCCAACAGACAACCTTATGCATAGGTCACCAGTTGGCCGAAGGTTTGAATCTTTTGCTCATGCGAATATTCCATAGTGTATTTTGAATTGTAGCACACTGGTTTTACAATTAGCATCAATTGTGCAAGCATAGATGTGGCAATCATCTATCAGATTAATTATTGATTAACATTAACTTATTTCTGTATTCTGATGTGTAAAATACTATAGTTTTCTGGCCCTTACAAATACTTTAATCTTTTGCTGAGAAAATATACAAGGTTTTCACATTTTGAGGAATTTCAGAAACCTTTAACATTTGGTTTATCTTTGAAATATTTCCGTGCCTGGTCGGAGCTTAAGTCTCGACCCGTGACAAGTGGTATTAGAGCCAGCCTTAAACCGTTCGGTCTACGCCAAGCGCTTCAAGGGAGGTAGACAGGGTGGCTAGCCTTCGTGACGAGGGCGTCACAAGGTTGGGTGCGGGAGAATGTCACGGACCTAAGGAGCCTTGAATCTCACATCGAACATAATAGGAGGGTCACTGGGGTATAAAAGGTTCACACCATCTCTTCCTTGTGAGGTGCCTTTTTTAGAATAAAACCGTGAGGCCAGGAGGGCCAGAGTGGACAATACCTCACAAGGGTGTGAACCGTGGCGGGAAGGCTGACTAAGACTTTGATGATTTTACAATAATTCCTTTTTAGTACTTCTCAATTCTTGGATAATATGGTTTGAAAGAAATCTAGTTTCCTCATCTAGATTGCTTTTAACTCTTCATATAATTTTGTTGTCAAATATCTGGGGCTTTTTTTTTTAATCTAAGGTGGTCAACCCTCAGCATATTACTGGAGAGGAAGCATATAGTGAAATGTTGCCAATTCATTCGCTATAACTTACTTTCCGAAAATGCCAAATGGTCATGTTTCCTTTCATTTAATCCTTCTAGTGATTTCAGTTTAGCATGGAAGTTTCCAGCAAATCAAACAAAAAAACAAAAAATATCTTCCGAGCTAGCAGTATTTTTCTATTAAATTAACTTGTGAAGAAAATAAAATGCATGTTTGCATATGCGAAAAAATTGGAAACTGAGAGGTTACACTTTTGAGCTTGTTGAAGATTCAAGCAGGGTAAGAGGAAGGGATTCAGTGGGGAGAAAGGGAAGGGCTGCCTCTCTCTCTTTTCAACTTGTTTACTCTTTCAAGCTCTTCTAACAACTATGATCTGGTTTACCTTTAGAAATTTGAAATGGAGTGGATCTTTGAATGAATCGAATGCTTTTACAAACATAAATATTAGATGATTTAAAAGTGCTTGAATGTACCTCATTTAGTTGATATTTAATGGTCTCGTGGTGTTGATCTAAATGTTTTGTTTTCCCAGAGAACCTCTAATTACAAACATCATGTGGAGGAACTTACTAATACAGGTACCTGTTTTCTTGGCTCCTCATGGTGTGACTAATTATTTTCTCCTGTTAACTTTCTTTATAGAAGTCTGTTGTCTTGCAAGTTTATTTGGTTGAGAGTTGTTAACTCAAACCACAGTCTGGGAAATATAGCTTTATGGTTCCATGTTCTCTTATCATCTTTTCACCTGTCATTTCAGGCTTTATATCAAGTTACTGTCCTCCTTGTGCTCAACTTCTCAGGCTTGACCATTCTTCATTTGAAGGATGATGGCATCAGACAACATGCTTTTGAAGTAAAGAATACTGTGATATTCAATGCATTTGTCATGTGCCAAGTAAGTTGCTGACAAGTATGCATTTTCGGGTCCTATATTTTGATTTGCTGGTATTAATTTTGTAAAGGGATCCTCTCCACTACTTAAGAAATGGTGGAAGTTTTCACTATTTTATCTAATTGTGGTAAATGCACATTCAACTAAATTTATGGTCGAAATTTATTCAAATTATGTTTATCTTTTTAATTAACTTTTATTTATTTTTATATTCAATTTAAAATCATAAAATTCAACCATAAGTTTAGTCGAAAATACATTATTCACCATTGAATAAAATAGTAGAAACTTTCACTATTTTTTAAGAAGTGGATAGGATCTTTTTCCATTAATTTTACGGTCAATTACACATTTGGTACCCAAGATATAGCTAAATTCTTGATTTGGTATCCAAAGTTTTAAAATTCATAATTAGATACTTGAATTTTGCTTTCATCCATCAATTTACAGATGAGAATAATACTGTTACTCAAATGGATGACATGTCCTGAAACAGCCGATAAAACCATGCCATGTCTAACCATGTCAAAATGGCACTTGTTGCAATTTTATTGGATATTTTGGACATCACCTATTTGATTAAAGGTGTTACTCGTGTAGAAATTGATGGATGGAAACTAAATTTGGGTATTTAATTGCAAATTTTTAAATTTTATGTACCAAATCAAGATTTTGACTATAATTGAGGTGCCAAATTTGTAAATAACCCTTAACTTCATTTATTAGATTAAAGGTCTTTGTTCTCAGTCTTATTTTGATTATTTTATGTGAGAAGAGTATACATTAATTCTGAAGCATACCTATGTAAAATATTTTTGCATTTATTGTAAGGCTTAAGTTTGACAATTGTTCAAATCATAGATATTCAATGAGTTTAATGCTAGAAGGCCTGAAGAACTCAATTGCTTCAAAGGAGTGACTAAAAACTACCTCTTTATGGGAATAGTTGGATTTACATTCATACTTCAGGTGATCAATCATTTATCTTTTTTTCCTTTCTTCAAGGCCATGGGCTGTTCTGTTCTGTTTGTGGTGATCTTTTTTACTTGGTTTACTCAAGATACTAATTCCAACTCCTTGATAGATAATCATCATCGAGTTCCTTGGAAAGTTTACGTCAACAGTGAGACTTGATTGGCAGCTATGGCTTGTATCCCTTGGCATTGGCGTTATCAGGTAGGCTAGCCCGCTCTCTTTTTCAATTTTAGGCTCCAATTACGCTCATAGTGTTTTAATATAAATATTACTATATAGTGCTACTGATGTGGTTAAGATTGGACACAACTCAAAGTTCGATTTTCATTTATTATATAGTTCATTGCAAGAATGGTTGGAGTTTGGAAATTAGCCAGTAGTTTCGGAGCCTTAAGGTTTAAAACTATCGAATGTTAATTAGTTTTGGCTCAGAACATGCCTAACTTATCAGCCGAAACAGAAAAAAAAATTTTAAAAAGAAAAAAAACCTTCACTGACTACTACTATCTTTTGAAGCTGGCCTCTCGCAATGTTGGGAAAGTTGATTCCAGTTCCCGAGACACCGGCAGCTGCATACTTCATCAAGCCATTTAAACGATGCAGAAGATCTCGGGATGCATGAATTTGGTCTTTCTGTTGTGCAATTAAGTAAAATCGACAACCGGAGAATTGCTAGAGCTTGTATATAGAAAGGTTTGTCAAAGTAAAACCTTCATTTACGGCAAATAGCAAACACACACACACACACACACGTATGCACAAAAGATGTTTGCTTGAGTGAACTCAAGGCACTGATTTCTATAAGATGATTGGTATATTTAAGGTAATGAATTGTATCATCCAATTTGAGTATATGATTTTTTGTTTATAAACCTCTAGAGTTTGCTCCGTTAATAGCCTAATATGTAGTATTGGTCAAAGCATACTTCAACTTTTCCTTCACTTCCATCTTTAATGGAAGGTTGCTCGTTGACTCCATTCTTGTAAACAGTGCTCGTACAATTTTTTTTTTTTAATTAATATGTTTGGTTGGAAAAATGATAGAATTGAAAGAAAATAATATTTTCTTTTCATTTATTGCTTAGTAGAGTTGGAAAATGAAAAATAAAAAAAATAAAAATCATATTATAATGAACAATTTTGTAAATATATAGTATATTCACGCTTTTTTCATTTTTCCCTTTTCTTTTGAATTGGAAATTACTTATGTTTGTGAATAAGTGTAGGGTATGATAATTTTTTTATTTTCTCTCACTCACTCTTCTTTTCTATTAAACATAATAAAAATTCATTTTCCTTTTACTTGTTTTCTTTTCCTTATCTATCTTTTTATTTTATTTTTCATTATATCAAAGCACACCATAAAGGAATAGTTAGTGAAAATGAAACAACTTAAAAAGGAACTAATGTAACTATAATAATTCTTAAGTTAGGATTGGTTTTTATGCACCTCGTCTTGAGGAAAAAAGCTGCATTGATCAATGAGCTGTTAGTTTAGTAGAATTAGAGTTTGCTTTAAAATTGACGATATCAACTTTTAATTTCAGTCGAAGTCCAAAATTTTAAAAAGAAAAATATTGCATTGGCCTAAAAGTCCTACATTGGTGTAAAATTTGCCTCAACAACTATGGTGATTTTTGGCAAGGTTCTGCATATTATGATCCAATTATCGGTTTTTTTTTCTTCGATTGAGAAAATCAATAAAACAATTTTCGAAATAGGAAGGTAAACGATAGCTTGACGTCGAGATAGGATGGGTTCAAGTTAAAAATATTATATTTGCAGTAGATTTGATTTAAGTATCGGGTTATTCATAAGAGTTCAAAAATTCATTTAAAAATATTTTTTTGAAAAAGTTTACACTTTTGGAAAACTAAAGATTTTTTTCTTGATTAGTTAGTGAAAAATATTTTATGTTGTTTAGTTGTTTTTTTAGAAAATCTGTTTTTATTTAAATAATATTTATAAAGCTATTAAAATATTAAACATTACTTATTATTTGTAATTATTTCTTATTAATATTATTAATATTAAAAATATTATATTAATATTAAATACTTAAAACAAAACTATTTATTTTAACATTTGAAAATATTTAAGATAGTATTATTATTCTTAAAATATTATATCTATTAATATAATTATGTTAAAAGTAGTAACATTTATTATTAAAATATAAAAATACTTATACTATTAAAATAGTAATAAAAAACTATTTGTCAATAAAATATTAAATATTAGAATACTTTTAATATTAATATTTTTAAATATTCAAAATTTTAATTAAAATTAAATGAAAATATTTTTATTAATATAATAGTATTTCATGTATAATCAAATTAAGTTCAAACTTAAACAATCATATTCAAAGTTTACCTTGAGTAGAATTATAAAAATATTTAAAATTAAAATATTAGAAAATTTTAAAAATTTTAATTTATATTCTTAAAAATCATGTTCAAGTTTTTATTCAAGTATAACTATACTCACAAACTTGGTAACATATCCTACTTATAAATAGTTATTTTTCAAAAATTGTCTTTCCCTTTTCAAAAGAGGAAGACAATTTAAAAAAAGAAAAGCCTCATTTTTCATTTAAAAAGAAGTCTTTTTTCATTGACCAACCACGATTATATCAACAAACATAAAAATGCAGAAATAATTGTAGACACCTCAATTAATCCAAGGTTTAATTTGCAACTTAGGATTTGATTCTGAAATTTGATTTTATTATTATTATTATTATTATTATTATTATTAAAAAAAAGTTTGGCCAATTTGAGAAAGAGACAACCAAATTGAAAAAGGAACTTTTGGAATCGTATTGAAATTAGAAGGTTAAATGCTAGTTTAAAGATTTAATTTTTGTGTGTTTTCACAATTAAAAATATTATTTTTTAATTTGGTTCAATTTAAGATTGAAAATTTTCAAATATGTTCAATTAAAGGTTTTGTTATGACTGTAGTATACATGAAAAAAAAAAAAAGCATGAAACCTACGATTGCTTATTTGTTGGTTTGAAAATAAGAGTATAAAGTACTCTTACACTAAAAGTAAAAAGATTTTATTTTAAAAATGTTATAAATGCATCTAAGAGTAGACCTAGCAATTCGTGTCAACATGTAATGTTTCATGTTAAACATGATTTCAGACATGAAATGAATAATCTTGACACAAATATGATACAAATACATGAATGATACAAATAACTTATATAAAAACATAACACATTTATTATATGTGTTACATGTAATATGACATGATTAATACATTTAAAATTAATTTATACCCAACTAATACGACACGATACGATTAAATGATTATATACGAATAACATGATTAATTACTCAAATAATACAATACGACATAACACAACATGATTAATACCATTATATACGAATAACATAATTAATCCATTTAAGTAAGCAAAAAATATTATTTAAATTAGTATTTAAACAAAAAATTATTTACAAATTAAATATTTATAATATATTTAAACACTAAAATGATATGATAAATATGATTATTAATTTATTTTTTAATAAATTAAAATAATTTTTAAAATTTTTTTATGTTATAAATAGTACTGTCTTAAATATGTCATTATTGTTTGACATGAACACGACACAAATATCATGTTTTAATCGTGTCGATATGATTAAGATACGAATATGATTATACTAAACCCATAAATGAATTTTTTGTGTCGTTTTTGTATCATGTCATCGTATCGTGTTTAAAATTGGCAAGACCATCTAAAAGATTAAAACTGTGAAAAAGGGATTTAGAGTTTTGAAAAAAAATGATTGATCAAAGATTGAGTGGATTAAAAAGAAATCATGATTCTTAAAAGCAAAGTTATGAAGAAATCGAGTTGATTCATGATTCCTAAAAGGAAGATTAAGAAGAAATTAAGTGGTGCTTTTCAGTCTAGACAATTGGGTATCCATCATTTTTAGGTGATTTTTTTTTTTATAGTTTTGAGAAACGTATGCATAAGTAGTTAGTAGTTATTGGATTTAGTTTGAATAAATAAATGTTTAAAGGTTTAACGATATGTTTTTTCTTCTTTATTTTTGATAGATATGAGTTTTCAATTGGTGACAATAAAATTTTATTATCAAGGAACACTTGTTGGTGAAGGTACAAATTTGAGGCATGTAAATGAAATTGTTAAAGACTTGACATTTAATCCTTACAAGGTTAGTTTTATAAGTTACTAAATGTGTGTGAAGATATTGGATTTATGAACATTAGGAGGATTTTTTATTTAAAGCCTTGTAGATTACTTGATAATGGACTTAGATTAGTTTAAAATGATGAAACTACTCTTGATATGATAGGATATTTGTTAGATAATGGTATAGTAGATATCTATATAGAACATGATATAAATGAGCCTTAATTAGTTCTTGAGATATTGAGTTTACCTTTAACAGAAGAGAATTAGGATGTTGTGACAAATGAACCATCTAATGAGGTTGCTGCTTCTGATGATGTGATTGTTGAAAAAGAAAATGATGGTCATAGGGTTTAATGTGATGTAGAATAACTTAATAAAGTTGTTAATGATGAACCACCTAATAGGTTCATTATGAGGTACAAGTAGAAGATGTTAATGATGAAAATAGATCAACTGATAGTAAAGTTGGAGATCTTATTTATGATGTTCCTATTCAAGCTTTAAGTGGTAGTATGGATGAAAAAATTGTTAAGCTAGGTCTAAGTTTAAGAAAATAAGAAATGAGAAGGGGAAAAGCAATGACAGGGAGTGAGTGAAGGAGTGAACATTACTGTTAATGTGGTTGTGGTTGGATTTCAGGGTCTAGAAAAAGGTTTTTGGCACTAATAATGATAAAGGGTACCATAATGAGTATTATGACTATGAAGAATATAGAGACCTTATTAGTGATGAAGAAGACATGGTGGATAATGCTAGTAGGAGAAAAAGTAAGTTCATAGTTTATAGTCTAACTATATATAACCTTTATATAGAATTAGGCATGTTGTTTAAGAATTTAAGTGTGCCATGTCATTACTGGTTATTCATACAAACGAGCTATAATTTGGGCAAAAATCATAGGAATTTTGTAAGGTAAGTGTACTGTACCTAATTGTCCTTGGTTGATATATGCATCTTTTGCAAAGAAGTTGCATTCATTTCAAGTGAAGACTTACAACAACAATTATGATTGCAACAAAGTGTTTAGTAATTCAAGGATGACTCAATCTATTTTGGCTAAATTATGTACTGAAAAGTTCATGAATAACATTTTTATGAAGAATTTAGAGATAGAGGAAGTAGTTAAGAATGATATGGAGCAAGGGTGAAAAAAGCATGGAAAGGAGAAAAAAAATGATGTGGTTGATAAGATGGTAAGCAACTATAAGGAAGAGTTTGCACTCTTGAGAGATTATACAAGTCAATCAAAGAGCCTAATCTTGATAGCACTGTGAAGAAGCAAGTGTATAAGTAGATGGCAAACTCTCCACCTATCTTTGAAATATATTACACATGTTTTGTGGCCATTAAAAAATGGTTTTGAAAATGGTTGCAAACACTTTCTAAGACTATATGGTTGTTTTTTGGAAAGCTTAATAAAGGGTGAGTTGCTTTGTGATGTTAATAAAGATGGAAACAATTAAATGTTTTCAGTGGCTTAGGCATTAGTGGAAGTGAATGATCAGCTTCATGGAAGTGATTTATTGACATTTTAAAGTTAGATATTATGACCCTTAAAAATGGAATAGGTTGGACTATAATGACAAACTAGTAAAAGGTAACTTATGTAAATCGTATTCAATTATGTATTTCTTAACATAAATTATTATAATCCTCTATTGCAATATAAGGCCTCGTAATGCAATTAATGAGTTGCTTTTAGATGCTGAGCACAAATATTATGCTAGATATGTATATGTAATTGGCTAATAATGGTTATAGAGGTGAAGAAATGAAACAATGCTTTTGGAAGAT